CTCACTAAAGCCTCTATTAACAGAAAAATACAAAAGAAATAAGGGAGAAGAGAGGCAAGAGAGAAGAAAGAAGGGAGAAGAGAAGAGAAAGTGTTTGGGAATCAAATCAGTTCTGATGGTGCCAAAATATATTATATCATATAGGGTGACACTTAAAAGATGGGGAAAGGACTCTTATGCCCCTGCAGCACTTACAGTCATAAACAGAATATCATTAAATTAACTGAATAAAAGAACCAGAACAAACTAAGCTATTTCAACAGCCTCCATCACAAAATATTATTAAATCATCTGCAAACTGAAGATGCAGAACTGTAACATGGTTTCTGCCTATTCTCCACCCCCTTATGACCTCTTCCCTATCAGCCCTAGTGATAATTTGACTAAAAGCATCAGCTACCAAGGTAAAGAGAAAAGGTGAAAGGGGATCCCCTTGCCTAATGCCCCTACAGGCTGGAAACAAGTCCCTAACCACTTCGTTTACTAGGATGGAAAAGTGACAATTACTGACACAACCCATCATCCAACTGCACCACTTTTCCCCAAACCCACAATTCCTCGTGACCTCTAACAGAAACTGCCAATCCACCAGATCCTAGGCTTTCTCCAAGTCCAGCTAACAAACAAAACTGCTTTTCCTAGATCTCCTCATCTCCTCTACACACTCATTTGCAATCAAGATCTGATAAATTAATTCAGTCTCCTACTATGAAAGAAGTGTGGTCTACTCCTGTTCCAACAAAGGTTAGGGCTTTTTTCTGGGAAGTGGGAAGTGGTGCTCCAAAAGATCAATACCTTGGATGTACTTCAAAGAAAAAGTCCAAACTGGTGCCTGTCCCCTAACATTTGTTGCCTTTGCCTGAGGAATGGTGAGACGGTGAATCACCTATTTATATCATGTCCTTTTGTTTCTTACATTTGGGACTGGTTCTCTTCTCTCTTTTGTTGTAGCTGGAACCCCCCATCGTGTGTGCTAAGCCTTTTTGACCCTAGCTTTCCATCAACCAAAGAAAAAGGGTAGGGTGATGTGGAGAATAACAAGAGCAGCCATCATATGGTCAATTTGGGAAGAAATGATCAATAGGATCTTCCAAGGGAGGGAAAAATCAAAGGAAGCACTTGTCGAGGGCATCACCATCAAAATTTTACATTTGCTGAAAATTCTGCAACTCTTCAAGGACTTCTCTTATGATGATTTGGTTAGAGGTTGGAGTGCTATGTTTACTTCCTCCTCCACTTCTCATATAGTGTAGGAGAGTTGGTCCCCTTCTCTACAGGCTAGAGTGAAGCTGAATTTTGATGGAAGTTCTCTAGGCAACCCAGGTCCTTCAGGCATTGGGGGAATCTTCAAAGATGAGGAAGGAAAAGTGCTGGCCCTCTTCTCGGGTCCAATTGGGGTGGGAGACTCACTTCGGGCAGAAATAAAGGCCTTAATACAAGGTCTTAGACCGGCTAAGCAGCGGGGTATGCAACAGCTAAAAGTGGAAGGTGACTCCTAGCTGGTAACCGGCTGGATGCAGGTAAGAATTTTAGGTGCATGGCCTTACAAGCAACAGTTAAGGGAAATATTGTACTTAACAAGGGAGTTAAGGGTACAGTGTAAGTGGGTAAGAAGATGAGAAAATGGAATGGATGATGCTCTAGCAAAGCAAGGAGTAAATAGGGGGGGGCTTCATTTTGGGCTTCCTTGTAGGCTGTTTATGATTTTGGTCTTTTTAGCCATCCTTTGGTTGGTGCCAGTTGTACTTTTTTAATAGTATTAATGCAACATAAGGAGAAGCTTCTGGGGTTGTATCTGGGCTACATAAACATAGATAGTACATGTCACTGAAGCCACAGGAGCTCATGGTGTTCCCCATTGCAGGGTACACTTAGGTTCCAGATGAGATATAATAAAAAAGGCAGCCCAGTGCAGTGCACGAGTCTCCCACCAATGCAGGGAGACTCGTGCACATACAGAGAGGTTATTTCCAAGATTAGAACCCAGGTTACCCAGGTCACAATGGAGTAACCCAACCGTTGCACCAACGCCCACCATCTTCCAGATGAGAAATAATGTTAATTCAAAATTGGGTACAAATCAGGGTACACTTAGGATTGGATACCGAGAGATAATTCAATGATGATGAAAAAAATAAGTGAATCAGATGTATTTTTCCATCTAATCCTTGCATTGTTCTTGGAGCTTTTAAGCTTCAATTGAACCTTTTACAATGTCCAAACATAAAACAAAGAAATATGTTATCATCACCTAGGGTGGAAGCTTCAACTTGGCTGCTAAGAAGAGGAGAATTCAGATGAAAAATAGATGCTACTTATGCTGCAACTACATAGAAGAGAACAGGCATCTTTTCATTCATTGCAATTTCACTAAGTTTATGTTGGGTTACTCTCTACTTGTTGAGTAAAGGCATGTGAAGACAAAAGCTTCCCAAAGGGATTTTCTCTTCGTGGCCTGTTATACATGGAAGCAAGAAGGCAAAGATATTTTGGAGCTGCATTCCATTTGCAGTTTGCTGGAGTATTTTTGAGGAAAGGCAAAAGGGTCGTGAGAGACTATACTTGGAAATAGGAAATATATATCTAGATTGGTCTTAGTACTACCAAGATAAACTTCAAACTAAAGGCCAACCTACTAAAGATAACTAAAACAAAGAAAAGGCAATATATGGTCTACAAATCCAAAATGGCCATTATCCAATGTTGCTCCCAACTATTGGTAGTCTTGGGAGGAGGGATGGGATATAGAGATAACCTTACAGCATTTAAAAAATGCAGCAAGTCAAATAGACCTTGCAATTTGATCTCTGCAATGTCAGTCTTTATGGAGGTTTTTGAGCTGCAACTGAACCCTTCTTTCTTTGCAGTGTCCAAATGAATAAAACAAGGAAACGTGGCAATCATCATTTCAAGCTAATTTTTGGTCCAGTCTGTCTCAGCTTTGTTTTTTCTTTTTTTATTTTCTGGAGAAGAGGTAAAGAATAATAATATCATTAAAGAGAGAAAACATGTACAACAGGCTGCTGTACACAGGGATTTTACAATCACTGCCCATGCAGTCCTATACCCCCAAACCCTGCTTTATAAAAAGATTATTATATACAAAAAAAAAAAAAAGAATTGTAAATTCTGTTCTTAAACAATTTGTTCACAGAAAGCCAAGAAAACATTTTCCCAAAATTTTCTAAAACACTGAATCAGTGGAGCTACTTTTGTGCTTGAATATCCTAATAACTGCCTTCTGCCAAATGTACCAAAAAGCCGCCACAGGAGCCCAGTCTGGCACATAGTATAACCATGTATTGAATGGTAGGCGCTAGAAAACTGAAAATGATACACATAGTTATAGGCCCTACACCATACTATGGTCTACAAGGCTTAAAATCATCATTATCTAAGCTTTTTGCCAACTATATGATGTCAGCTACTTGAATCCTGTTCCATGCCTTTCACCATTCCATTCTGTTCAGTGCCATATTCAGTGTGAGCTTATCATACATTGTGGTACCAAGCTTGGAAAAGGAGGGTTGGGGGTTGGCAGAGAGTATTAAAACTTTCACCAAACTCTTATGAACATTGAATTGTCTACAAGGCTTAAAGTATTACAAAAAAAATAAACTCAGTATGAGTCAGCCTACTAAAGACCCCCATTTTTAAAACCTAGCCCAGATGTTGAACCATTTTCCTCCTGATCAATGGGTCAGCAGTTCAAAAAATTCCAAAAAAATGATAAAAGGGTATAAAAACCCAATGACCCACTGAACAGTTCAGCTGGATCAACAGTTCAACCATCCAGGTCAGCAAGTCATTGACCAAATCAATGGGTTTTGTAATATAACCCATTAGAGGTTGATACAAACTGGGATTGTGACTAGTCACTAGGTCACCAGTCCGACTGGCTCATAACTGAGACAAAAGGTTGGGAAAGTCACATGGTCTAATTCTAGAGGCCATTAATGTTGGTCCCAGCTGACCATATACAGACCTAACCTTCGACAATATCTTGCATGAAGTGGGCACTGTAAGACATGAACCTGCATTCTCACACTTGTCATCTTGAGAATTTACCATTGCTTCAAGCAATGGCCCCTTATACATGRTCCACATCAAATAATAAGCTTCAAGGACCTAGAAAAGAAAGTTTTTTTTTAAGCTCCAAGGACCTAGAAAAAATAAGTTCAGCAAAAGAAAAGAAAGACATTTTTAACAAAGAAACCTGACATTTTCAGTGGAGGAAAAATGTCATTCATGAAATCATTTATGGCCTTGCAAGATCAAGTTGTCAAAATTCCATTATGAAGGCTGGTCCCGGCTGTCCAATTGGAAGGGATGGACTAGACACAGTACAGTCCTAAGTCCTAACCTCCATCATTTTTAGCACGAAGTGGCCTCTCTGAAACTCAAATTTTCTAATACTTCTCAGGTTAAGATTTTACCTTCCCAACAAGAAATAGACCCTAACTTGTTGGAAGTTTCATTCAACCCTAAACATATATCTATTCTGCAACCAAAAAGCAAACTAACTTGTAAAGGACTAAATCACATATTGAACTAAACTGCACTGCATGCAAAGCTACAGAAAGTGAAGCTTTAAAAGTTTTCATGGTCAAAACTAAAAGAGAACATGTGAAGGAGAAACAAAAGGCAGAAATAGTGTGGTTTACTAATATGTGCAATCAAATGCAGTCTCAAAAGTGTCCTACAAGGCCAGAACTATAATAAAAGAAAACATGTGTTTCCTGCAAATTGTCTTAAGAAAAAAAAAAAAAAAAAGCAAACCTGGAAGGTAGTGGAGAATGGAACCTGGAGGAAATGTTAAGTTCAATATATATATATATATTATCAGTGTTGTTAAGTTCAATATATTGTTAACATAATAATGACAGGTACCAGTTTATCTCAAATTAGGACTAATTCCTCAGGCATCAAAATTTTCACCATGAAATGCAATTACAAAATAAATTTTCACCATAAAATAAATTAGGGCAGACAGAACTTACAGGAGTAGAGCCTTCCAAGCAAGCTCTGGCCCTGGTAAAGGACAAGTTGCCAGCCAAGAATGAACCACCTCTTTGAAAAACCTTCTGAGGGTTACGGCCATCAGCCAGCCACCTATGTACAGAAGAATCTGTAGTTGCAACCCATATGCTGTCATCATGCAAGGCCAGCTGCAAAATAGGGTGTTCTTTTGTACAAAGCAAAACACTCTCTCTTGTCGTCAAGTCCGTCAGGTATAACTGAAATAGCAACCAGGATTATAGATGAAAGTGACAGAAGTTGCAGCATATAAACTATAAAGAACCAAAATAACTTTTTCCTTTTTTGTTGGGAATGGGGGGAGGAATTTTTTCCAAGACAAATAATTTAATGGAAACAATACTTACAGAAAGATCCCTCCCACCACTATAAACGTGGCTGAATGTTGGAGTGCTCGCTAGTGCCCAAACAGAGTCTGTATGTACAGCATAAGAATGCACACATCGCTGCTGACCAAGATCCCATAGCCTATGAAATCAAATAACAAAATCAATCACTTAGTGAGTAACCTACTTCTGTAAAATGTGACATACACACACATTCAGTTATTAATAGGTAGCTCATTATGCCAATTCTCATTCTCAAGCATAAGCAAATACAGTGAGATGCAATTGAGCCAAGTTAGCCCAAACTGAACCCGAAAAGATCAAGTTGGACTGGATCGGACTAAGTTTGACTTCGGGTTAGGGTTGAGGTCTTGTGCAACCTGACCCAACCCGAACCAATATGTCGTCATATTTGTATATATAAATATTATTAAATATGTATGCATGTAGGTATGTACACACATGTATGTGCACATGAATATGTGTGTGCGTAAATTTTGTTTCGTCACTCCATTCTGTCTTGTGCATATATCTCTTGGTCAAATGATCCTCAAGATATGCTGGATATTGGGAGAATTTCAACAGTTAGGGAGGCCTTGCAATATTTCATTATAAGCAAGTATATTTTCTTTTCTTTTCTTGTTTTTAGTTTTGCTTCTTAGGAAAATAAATATGTTATTGATTGTTGAAATCAGTTAGTTTCTCCTAGCTGTTTATTTATTTTTCTGTTCCTTAGTGCCGCAGGGGAGCTCTTGTAATTCCTGTAATTTTTATTATAAGTTGGGTCGCCCTAATATAAAAGCTAATAGCTAGCGCCGCCAGCCATAAGTTTTGAATCCAAATTTTCTTCTCTCTTCCTCCTCTTCCTTCCTCCTCTCTTCCTCTCCTTCTCTGATAAATCTGACCTGAAAACATGGTATCAGAGCAGGCCTTCTGAGATCAGAAAGAGTGTGATAAAGTTTCCTTTTTTTACTCTCCTTGCTGTGGATCAAATCTGATCAAGAAGCAGATCAGACTGATCTGAAGGGTGTTCTGCTAGTCTTCTTCTCTTCTTCCTTGGGCGTGTGCCAAGAAACACTTAAGGAAGGAGGATAAATCTATCTTCTGTGGATCGTGTGATCCTCTCTTGTACTCAGGTAAGTGGGTTTTTGGAGGTCTAGATGACATGAAACTGCTAGGTTTCTTTGAACTGTGGATTGTGTAGTCCTGAATTTTTTTTTTTTTACCCAGACAACTGGGCAGTGTAGGCCTAAATGACCTGTAACTGTAAGACAGTGGCCGGCTACCTTCCTTGGAAGCATTTCCAGTAGCTGTGTATCCAAGAAAAGTGATGAAAAGGGTACATACAAAGTCAGCCTAGCCCCAGTTTCGTTTCTGAACTGTCTTTCAGCAATGTACAGACAAACTGATCTGTGTGGTATTCCTAAAATTTATACTTGACTGAATCTGAACTGTAATTAAACAGTGACTGAACTGTAGCTGAACTGAATTAGGGTTTGAACTTTGACTGAACTGACTGAACTGACTGAACTGTAATTAAACAGTGGCTGAACTGAACCAATCTGAACGGAACTGTTAATGATTTGTGACTGAACTGTGACCTTTTTTGAACAGACCTGATCTGGGAACCTAAATCTTATAATATGTCTTCTGAGGATTCTATCCTGTCTAGTGGCCCCTCCAGTCAAGGTGGAGTGAGTGGGGTATTTGACATGAGTTTTCCCATGGCTGTGATACCTTTTGATGGTCTTAACTACCTAGAATGGTCAGGGGGAATCAAATTATACATAACAGTCAGGGGGAAGGTGGGCTATATTAATGGTAAAACTAAAGAACCAAAGTCTCAGGGGGTAGAGCAGGATAGGTGGGATTAGGAAAACAGCATGGTGATATCATGACTGTTACTGTCTATGTTGCCTCCAGTCAGGAAGACTTTCATGTGGGCTGAAACAGCTGTTGAGATTTGGGAGCAGGCAAAATCTACCTATTCAGAGCAACACCACTATGCCAAAATATACCAGTTGCAAGCTGCCCACTCTACATGTAAGCAGGGGGAGAGGACCCTCTCAGCCTACTATTCAAATTTGACCTCAATTTTGAAAGAACTATATCACTATCAAAACATTGATTGGAAGTGTGATGCTGATGCTAAGGCCTACAAATCTCTGGTTTCCCAACAACGGGTCTTTGCCTTCCTCTTGGGGTTGAACCCTGTATATGAGTCTCAGAGTTCAGATATTAGGAAGTAAAAATCTACCTTCAGTGCAAGAAGTGTATGCTCTAGTACAGTCCGAAGAGAGTAGGCAAAGTGTAATGAATAGCTTCGAGGGGGAGCAGATTGCCTTAGTAGCTAAAGGGGGTATAGATGTAGGAAGCAAAAATTCCTTTAAAAAGGGTGACTTCCAAAAGAGAGTGGAAAATAAGGATAAGTTATGGTGTACTCATTGCCAAAAGGCCAAACATACCCGAGATACTTGCTAGGACCTCCATGGAAAGCCAAAGTGCGCCCAAGAGTTGAGTAAGAAATCAGATCAGAATAAGAAGTTGGGACAGCATAGTCAAAAAAGGTTCAATACAGCAAACTTGGCCTCTCAGGAGCCTCAATCATCTACTGCTATTCACCAGGACCACCCATCCGTTGTTGATCTCCGGGAAGATATCATTAATTCTTTTTGTGACCACTTGGATCTGTATGGGAGAGCAATCCGCCAGATGGATTCTGCTCCTCCTGCCTCAACTTCTTTTGCATCTACCTCAGGTAATGGTAATCCTACCACAACCTTCCATGTGTCTTCCCATTACCTAATTCCCCTTGGATAATTTACTTTGGAACCTCAAACCATATGACGGGTAAGTAAAATTGCTTTCAGTCCTATCAACTTTTATCTGGTAGGGACAAAGTGAGATTAGCTTATGGTTATTTTTCCACCATAGCTGGCCAAGGAACCATAGCCCTTCCTTTTGGACTTACCCGTTCTAATGTATTACATGTTCCAAATTTACCTATAAACTTGTTTTCTGTCAATAGCATTACAAATTCATTAAACTGTTCAATGACCTTTTTCCCTTCTTCTTGTGTTCTACAAGATTTGGACTCAAGGAAGATGATTGGTAGAGATTGTATGGTGGATGGTCTCTATATGCTAGAGAACAAATCTAGTCTTGCGGTCTTTGAGTCTATAAGTCAGTCTAGTATGAGTCAAGTTTACTTATGGCATAGTCGTTTGGATCATTTATTTTTTGAGTCTCTAAAGGTCTTACTTCTGAATTTATTTAAATCAGTGTCATTGTCTAGGTTCAAATGTCAAACTTGTCAATTGAGCAAACATTGTAGAAATCTTTTTTTCAAGAAATAATAAATCTGATTTTCCTTTCTATATTGTTTATTCTGATGTTTGGGGCCCCGTTACTTTACCATTTGAGCTTGGCTATAACTATTTCATTACTTTTATTGATGACTATTCTAGATATACATGGGTGTACCCCATGCGATCCAGGGATGAAGTACCAAAGATTGTAAAAGATTACCAATACATGATATTCACCCAATTTCAGACAGAGATCCAAATTTTCCAGCCTAACAATGCCAAAGAATACTTCCACAGTGATCTCACAGAGTTCTTTGCTTCGTGCGGGTCTATCCATTGTAGTTCTTGTACAAAAACTCCTCAACAAAATGGTGTTGCAGAAAGAAAAAACCGCCATCTACTTGAAGTAGCTCGTGGGTTACTCATCCATATGAGTGTTCCAAAACGTTTTTGGTTGGATGTTGTGTTATGTGCTACCTATCTAATCAAAAGTATGCCATCTTGGGTGTTAGGGTACAAGGCCCCTCATCAGCTCCTATTCACTAAAACCCCCTTTTTTCTATTCCCATTCGTGTGTTGGTTGTCGTTGTTTTGTTCAAAACTTGTCTCCTATCCATGGTAAGCTTGACCCTCATGCGCTCCCTTGTGTCTTCTTGGGCTATCCTTCTTCTCAAAAGGGTTACCGTTGTTTTGATCCTGCTTTTCGGAAATACTATGTTTCTATGGATGTGTCTTTCTTTGAGAGTGATCATTTCTTTCTGATTTTTCCTCAGGGGGAGAATAGGGTGGAGGAGAAACAATTTCAAGTGCTACCTCCTCTACCTGATCCTCTGTTTCGTGTCTTTCTCCATCGTCGCAAGGGCCAGCTGGGATAAAAAGTTGTAGAGCAACTTGAAACTGTACCGCCAACATCACCAGATTCACTGGGAACAGATCCCATCCCACCAGGTACTATTATTCCTATTGACATTCCTGATCCTATTGTTATTGATTCTTCTTCAGCCAATGACCTTGACATCCCTATTGCACAAAGGAAGGGAGTTAGGTCCTGTACCACCAAACATCCTATCTCCCACTTTATCTCATATGAGAACATCTCATCCTCCTTTTATGCTTTTCTCTCTTCCATTGATAGTGTCCCTATCCCAAAAAATGTGGCAAAAGCTCTTTTAGTACCAGAATGGACAGATACAATGAAAGAAGAGATCGATGCATTGCATAAAAATGGTACATGGGAATTAGTGGACCTTCCTGTGGGAAAGGAACCGGTAGGGTGCAACACTGCAAGTGAGTTTTTGCAGTAAAGCACAAGGTTGATGGTACAGTAGAAAGGTACAAAGCTCGGTTGGTGGTGAAAGGGTTTACTCAGGTGTATGGAGTAGACTATGAAGAGACATTTGCTCCTGTTGCTAAGATGAATTCTTTCAGAGTTCCTTTTTCTCTTGTTGCTAACCTTGATTGGGATCTCCACCAGTTAGATATTAAAAATGCCTTCCTGAATGGTGATCTTGAAGAAGAGGTGTACATGATGCAACCTCCTAGTTTCTATGTTCAAGACCAAAAAGAGGTGTGTAGGTTAAAGAAGTCCTTGTATGGACTAAAACAATCACCGAGAGCTTGGTTTAGCAAGTTTCAGCTAGTTGTACAACAAATTGGTTATAAACAGTGTCTGACTGATCATACATTATTTGTGAAAAAAGGAAAGGGAAAAATTGCAGCCTTGATAGTGTATGTTGACAACATAGTGATCACAAGCGATTGGAAAGTGGAAATTCAGAGACTAAAGGAGTTCCTAGTCACTCAGTTTGAGGTGAAGGATCTAGGTTCCTTAAAGTATTTTCTTGAAATTGAAATGGCCCGTTCAAAAAGGGGGATCTTCATTTCTCAAAGAAAATACATCCTAGATTTATTACAAGATATAGGAAAACTTGGACTCAAGCCTGTTGACTTCCCTATTGATTCGAACCACAGATTGGGTGATTGTCAAGGTGAGACTATCAAGGATGTAAAACAATTCCAAAGACTTATTGGCAGACTATTATATTTGTCTATGACACAGTCGGACGTTGCTTATACTGTGGGTGTTCTTCGCCAATTCATACATGCTCCTAAGACTACACACTTAGAGGCAACCGATAGAATCCTCGGGTACCTAAAGAAGTTTCCAGGGGCTGGTTTACTTTTCCAGAAGAATGGCCACTTGAAGGTTGAGGTGTATACTGATGTTGACTGGGCCGAATCAGTTAATGACAGAAAGTCTACCGGTGGGTATTGTACCTTTGTGGGAGGAAACCTAGTCACGTGGAGAAGCAAGAAACAGAATGTTGTAGCGAGGTCTAGTGCTGAAGCTGAATATAGAGCAATGTCTCATGGAGTGGCTGAAGCTGTGGATAAAGAACTTGTTGAATGAGTTAGGATTTCCTGTTGATGGCCCCATATCCTCGTATTGTGATAACAAAATTGTTATAAATATTGCTGCCAACCCAGTACTTCATGATAGAACTAAATATATTGAGGTTGACAAGCATTTTATTAGGGAAAAACTTATAAATGGGGAATTGTGCACTCCATATGTCAATTCCACAGATCAACTTGCAGACATCTTTACCAAGGGGTTACATCATCCGCGGAACAATGATTTATGTGACAAGTTGGGCATGATTGATATCTACGTCCCAACTTGAGGGGGAGTTTTGAAATCAGTTAGTTTCTCCTAGCTGTTTATTTATTTTTCTATTCTTTAGTGTCGCAAGGGCACTCATGTAATTCCTCTTATTTTTATAAGTTGGGTCGCCCTAATATAAAAGCTAATAGCTGGCGCCGCCAGCCATAATTTTTTAATCCCAATTTTCTTCTCTCTTCCTCTCTCTCTTCTTCCTCTTCTCTGATCTCTCTGGCCTGAAAACATTGATCTTAAAAGAGATATTTTACACCTTCTATATAAAACTAGACAAACTTTCTTTTGCACAAAATCAAAGCTTTTCTATACTGTGCTTTGTGTTTCTTTTCTGATCCCCCCCCCMAARKTTTKKYMA